AGATTAGCCTTTACTTAGAACATTAGTATAAAAACCAAACAAAATTATTTTTTTGCAAAAATAGAATATGAAATATATTTGTAAAAAGAAAATTCAAAAAGAAATATCAAAATAAATAAAGAATTGAAAAGAAGCACTCAATGGAATATCTAACGATGAGACATTGATTATTCTCCTTCTTTCTTCTGAATAGATTTATGTGTTCTGAAGTCAGATTATACATGTGGGAAGCGAATTACTTCAGTAAATTCTGTATGCAAATATATTTATCGCATCACCACGGCAACATCATTTCAAAGAATGCGACATTACTCAAATATACTGTAAATTAAGATATATGCAGCAAGTTGCTTCCAGAATTTTATGCTTGGTTTCTTGTGGAAAGGATTGCACAGTAAATATAATTTCAAAAGTAACTGCGTTCAACAGACGGTACTAAATATTATATATAGATATATTGCCTAAGGCGTGATGCTGTATCTCTCCAGCCTAAATTTTACTGGCTTTTCCATTACCCACCCATATTAATCACCAAAAACCCAAATCATTTATAAAAGAACTTACCAGGTACCTGTAGGTAGGATTCGCCATTAAAGTGCAAAACCTCTACATTTAGGGACTCATTTTTATACAACTTCATTTTCATATTTTTAATAACAATTTTAATAGTCATTATTTATATAAACTTCTTTTCAAATGCTACCATACATGCCAAGCTACAATATTTTAACAATACTTGTTCTACCTGGTCAATAATTTGCAATACCTATCAGTTACATTACTGGGAAATGTTTTGTTCTATGAATACTGTACTTTTAATGTTTTGTATTTTACATTTATTTTCTACATTATTTTAATAATTAATAATTCATGGTATAAGCACCTGGATTTGTATATATTTTGACTATCTTGTATTGATGTTAATAAATATTCCTTGACTTTTTGATTGATTTAGCTGCATGGGGGGTAGAAGGGACTTGTATTTATTACTATAGTATATACTTCAGCTATTTACCTAGGCCTAGGCTAATCAGAATTAAATAAAAGCTCACCTTGAAAGTCAAATTCGTTGGCTTTTGATATCCTTATAACAAGTTTGAAAGACAGTTAAACTCTTATTCAACATTTCTCTCTCACAGATTATTTGCCAGGCTATAAGTTTTAAATCAAAAATACGCTCGGATTTCGAAGAAGAGTCATGTCATTGTGTATGCTGATTGGTTTTCATTGTCCATTTTGTCAAACTAATTTCATGGCATTTCATCTTGGGTATCATGTTTCTCTTACGTGTATGGTTTTGAACAGTCAATATGAACAAACTGACGGGTAAAATAAATCATCGAGTCATGGCAAATTTTACGTCTTGTTAACCAGTTTTTTTAAATCAATTGATTAAGGAAAGTAAAATATGAATTGGGTTATAAGGACTGAAATAACAGAAAAATACAGTGACTTGGCAACAAAAGGGTCTTGACCTGGTTGGCAAATTCTAACAAGCGAGATTGAATGATAAGGATATGATGGTAACGTCCAGACTGTAAAATTTTATTTGAAAACACATGTGGTCATGATGACATCACATCATGACCATATATAGGCACATTATGACTATATACGGGCACATCATGACCATATATAGGCACATTATGACTATATATGGGCATACAGCAGTTTTTTCTGAAAGAAATCTGATATCTTGGACAGAATTGAAGATATTTTTTTGCTATATGGTGGTAAAAGCATCAATCAATCAATCTATTGATTGATTGATGATGATTGCATCCTGATAATAAACAAACTGAACTGGAATTATTGGTAGGCCTATTAATTTCATTTTTATTTAATTATTTTTTTAGTTTCTTCTCTAATGAATGATTCAGATTCAGATATTTATTACATCAAAATGTCAATGCATCATGGTAATTGGTTTCCACGGTTCAAAAATACAAATATTGTAAGACGTATTCTCTACTACTAATATACTTGGATATGATGACAGTGTTAAATATTGATTTCATTGACTTGGAAACTAAATGAATGAATGGATGGACGGATGGATGGATGGATGGATAGATGAACTAACAAATATATCCATGAAAATGCATTCATAAATGGTTCTAGGAAGATTTTCATTTCTTTCGAGGGAAGAATTTAAAAACGTGTGATTGAATTCTGCAAAACAACGCAAGTCATTACTCGCTTGAGTACCACAAAGAATTACGAGTCCTAATTGTACGTGCCGATAAGATTGTTAAACAGCATGAAAAATTCTCATTCATCAATATCACGATAATGAACATCCCTCTTCAGACACGTTATTTTGGTAATTTTTCCGAATTTTATGTGGTGCAAATCCGACTGACAATGCGTGCACAAGCACGAATATGTTTCCAGTGCTAAGTGCCGAGATAACATGGGATACCTCAGGGACTTGGAGAGCTGTCGTTACCAATTCTAGCAGCTTTGTTCTGTGGTTGGAGACTAGCAAGAAAAATGAAGATAAACGTCTTTCTAATGAGTGCAACATAGTTTAGACATAAATGTACACTCTGCTTTTTCAACACTTAAAGGCAAATTTTGAAATTAATACCAATTGAGATTTATGATTGGTACATCTGGTAAAATTCAGATTTTTATATGAATTTAATGTCAGGAAGTTTAACACTTGCACAAAGAAAACATAATATATTATCCTGATCTTTAATTAAAGAAAAAAAATGTACACAGATGTGTTTTGGAGATGAATCCACAAATTATACAAATTTACTATACAGCTATAAAACTTTGACAGTGAAATAAAAAAATGTTTGCCATCATAGGTCAAAACTATTAAGTCATACATAAGTTTATATTACATCTGTTCTTTCTCCTTTAATAAAAAGTATAAAAAAGTAATTAATTGTAAATTACGTCCTAATAAATCCACAATTTTTTTTCTAAAATATAATCAAAATTTATCATTCTGTAAAATTAAGGAGTATGGCAACACTGTAAATTCTCATTATGGAATTGAATGTATCTCATTTAGTATAAAAACAAAATATACTTTTTTTTTCCTACACATCAAATAAATTATAGAAGTTTCTATCTAATCCTAGTAAAACTAGTCTGTAAAATATAAAACTATCGACTTTCAAAAAATTACTTCATTTAAAGATATATTAAATTCTAATTAATATAGCTTTTTTTAGTTTTTTATTTCATGGTTAAGGGAATTAAAAGTTGTTCTTTAATTGAAGCACACAGTAATTGGGAGCGGTCAGTGCAGTAGTGGTGTTTTTAGTCTTAACCTTTGAGATGGGGGGCTGTCACCCCCTCACTGTGCAATTCGCCTATAGTTTTCTCCATCCACCCAAGAGCATACAAGGGTACAAACATCACTGCAGTCATTACCAGCTGAAATATGGAGTTCTCCCCAAGAAGCCAAACATGTGTGCCATATATACAAAATTAGCATATAGGATTTCTCATAAATTTCTTTATAGCTGTAAGTGTTTGCTAAATGTCTTTGTTAATAAGATTTTTATTGATTTTGTTGTAACTCATTTTCTTTCCAATTCAATATTTTATTTTGATTGTATTTTCTTAAACCACTTAATCAGTAAATTTCAGATAAAAGAATTATCAATTCGACTCACTTGGATCTATAATAAAGAAGCAACCATGTTCTATATGAATTTTTTTTAGAATATTTGCACACCTCAGTGGATCATATTTTGGTACAACCCAAAAAAGGTCAGCCCTCATAATATGGTTATGCTTCAATGGAATTTTTATTTGTCAAATCCCAAATGTCTGCCAGGTCAACGCAAGTTCAATTTACCCCAGACTGACAGAAAAAAAAACCTCATCCAAAATTAATCAGAACACAGATTGTTTTTAATTGTTTTCATTTTGAAATTTGTCAGAGCTGATGTGACTCAACAGTACTCAAATTCGTTATGTTGTAAGCTGTACATTCAATATGGCACATGCTACATATAAAAATATTATCAACAAGTAGTAAGTAAAAGAATTGAAACTAGGCCACATAAAAAAAATATGTTTCCAAATTGGAATTTTTGAGAAATAGAAATTCTTTTTTTAAACAAAGTAATAATAAAGCAGTTTTGGTATTTTTTTTAAATAGAGAAATGTACTGTTGATTCTTATTTAACCAGTTTTTATAAAATAGTGCTTACAATTGAATTTCTTTCCTTTTGATTAATAATTTTGCTTTCATCTTACTGTATACAAGGGTATTATTTGGCAAATTTTGTTTGCCAAAAATATTATATATATATTAGCAGTATATCTCCTTTCAATTATAAAATGTGTGTTACCCTATAATATTCGGCATTTTATAAAGAAATGTAAGCTGTTGGTTCTTAACTAGTGATTATAATTTAATTTCTTTCCTTTTTTAAATTTGGCTTTTTTATATATACAAGGGTAATATTTTTCAAATTTTGTTATACCATATCATAGCAGTATATCAGATAATTCTTTTCAATTATAAAGTGCTGCTATCCTTTAATGTTTAATTCTGTGCTCCTTTAATTTTCAACATTTGTTATCTTCTTAAACACATTTGCCAAAATAAGAAAAATCAAAGCATAATTGCTATCTCTGCATTCGTTGCGAACTCCACTCATATACGATTAGACCCTGTTATATACTGTACAGTAAAAGGGAGCCAATACTTTGCTAACTCGAAAACTTATTATCTTTGTTGCACTGCCCTCGTGAGACTTCCTCTGGGAAACAAATGCTCTTAAATTAAATCTGTAATTCACTGAGACAATCTTGTTTTGCTTAAGCCTTTTCGAGATCGTATGACAACTATCCACTGAACTGTATAATACAAATACGACCACTGGGGAACAGTGGGGAGATAGGTTGCCGCAAGTCCTTTTCCATTGTAAGCAACCTTTTGCTTGGTGAAATATGTTAGGCCAACATTTTGGTCTCATGGGGGCTATACAGACCTTATCAGGAAGGGGTTGAGGTAGTTGACTAACCTTTATCGGAAATGAAGGCAAGATTGGTACGGAGTTTATACTGAATCCAATGTAGTATCTCTGGAATATTAAACAAAGTTTTAATTAATATTGCACACAATAAACAGCTGTACAATATCAAGCCATGTAACACAGTTCGGCAAAGTTTACCAAACCGTCTTCCCTCCATGATCAAACAAAATACTCAAATGTTTACATAGTATAGTATTATATAGTATTATTATATAGTGGTTTTAATGAAAAATATAATATACACACAAATATTGTACACTACTATGGTTTTTTATTACTCTCAATCAAATTTAAAATTGAATGATTTTGATGTGTGCTATGACTGACAATTTTAGCCTTTCTAAAAATTGATATTGTTTTTAATATTAAAACCCTTCTTTGATGTTTGAAGAGTTTATCAAACATCTCAACATTTTTGTACCTATTTTTGCATCAGATTTACAATAATATAAATAATGTTTAATTATTAATTACGCAGGAAATAGTAGGAGATTGTGTCTCAGTGCACAGCTTAATTCCCAACCAGAAATGTTTGGAACTTTGTGGTTTATCATTTGTGTATACTTGTAATTGCCAAATGCACTAAGAAAGTAAATTATAACTAGATATAGTCAGTCTTCTGAAAGCTGATGATCATTTTAACAATGATTTTTTAAGCTATTAATACAGCTTAAATATTTGTGCTACATTTGACTGTATAAAAATGTTACACTTTTTTAGGTTTTGTTTCGAGATGTTTCACATGGTGCTATTATTGGGATTAAACTCTGCACAACCTTATGTTGGTCCACTTTAAATAGGTTCTGGTACATGACACAACAATATGGAAGAACTATTACAATGATAATTGTGATATAATTATTACTTCTATTTTTAGCATTCAATGGTATGGCAAAGAATACAAAAATGATACATATAGCTTGTTTGTTTGACCAAAAAAAAATGTTTTCTTTAAAAACTGTTAAATTTGTACTGTGTGGTGCTTACTCAAATATAAGTACTGTAACCCCCTTACTCATCGGAGTCTTCTTCCAAATAAGATAAGACCCCCCTTTTAGATTGAACTTTCTGAAATCTGAATTGTACTTTCATCGAAACTGAATTATCTTGTCATCAACAATTTAAACTCATCCCATGAGAAATGGCTAATGCTAAGTGGATTTAATTGTCAGAAAAACAGGGTAATTGCTATAAGAAGTGGTAATAATTGTCAGATAAATAACAGATCAGTCACTTTAAACACGTCTCAAGTCATATCCTCTTTAGGAATGGGACAACATCGATAGCGAAGTTAGTACATGCTTAAGTTGTACAGCCTACGGTGGAAATCAAAAGCGAAAATAAGTTACGAAACATCATTAAGAGCGCGCACTTAAAAGCATGTCCACTTTAATATCTTTAACATTAGCTATCAAAACACAGTTATATACGAAGTGAAGTAGATTTCCCAGGGGATGGAAAGGCTTTACCACACCAGCCTAGTAAAATGATAAAATAAAGTGAAAGATAAAAGAATGGAAAGATTGCACGGCAATGTGGTTCTACAGAAACGGAAAGAAGGTGTCAACGTGAATATCCTTATTCGACTGACACATGTCTTAACAACTGGGGGTGCACCCCTAAGGAGTTGAAATTCTAGGCTTTCTAAAAAGCAAACATTGATGGTTTTTGGATCCAGACCCCTTTGAGAAAACACAATTCAAAGGTTTGGAACCGCAGCAAGTTTCCTTCAAGTTATTCGTACCAAAAATCCTGTTTTCATAACTGAAATCTCTCGGGAGGTTACCTGTATCGAAATAGCTTTTTATATCTGTCATGTACAATCAGTAACCAAAGTGATGGAGGTATAATACGCCTTCCCCTATATAAGAAATCCTACATGTACAGGTAATTCAATTAATAAACAATATAAACGATCTACCAAAATCTAAAGCAGTAAATGATTAGTGTGTCTGGACTTCATCAGCTCTTGTCAGGAAGTTTTTTTCTACACAATGCGAATCATTCAACTAGTGTTCAAACATAGGTGAAGCGCCCTCAATGATTTTTGTATATACTAATAGAAAATAGATTAAACATGAAACAATATTAATAGAACGAGAAAAACAATCCAATGTTAGAATTTATTTAAATAATCATTTGTGACATACAATTGGATATAGACTCAGAATGGTTGTTAAAACATTTATGAAAAAGAACTATTTGTAAAGGAATGGTAAAGACCTGTTATTTCATTGAATAATTTTAATAATTATTTCTGACATGGAAATGGAATTCCAACATTTATATGGTAATCAGTAATGCTTGTTACAAGATGAAATAAAAGATAAATTGTCAAAAAGGGAATGGTAAAGATCACAAACAACTATACCGAATAATTTCATTTGACATAAATATTCATGCATAAAGCATGCAGTACATTGTCCATAAAATAAAATTTGATTTGCCTTTTCTAGAGTTCATTCCACGAAAAATTGTTCAGGCATAAGAATCATGTTATTAGTATCAGTAGAATAATAATTTCAAAATTGGATTTTTTTTGTTAAATGTTTATATAGAAAGAAAGGTCATAGGTCATAGTATTAAAATTAGAATTTGTTTGGCAATGCCAAGTTATCAATGCACAAACCTTCTGCATAAATAATATAATTTTTTTCTAGCATGGAACAGAGACAACATTAAAATAGTAAAAGCTATTGAAATTGTAGAAAAAGAAACTATGACAATAATGCATTTTAACACTGACAGTTGCTGTAGAAATTCTTCTAACCTGACTAAAGTACCGGACTTAACAGCTAGGATGATTTAGTGTTCAAATCATCATGAAATTGGATTGCACTACAATTATTATCCTACACAAACTGCAGATTAAGTTATAAAAACAAGGGGGAGATGAAATCTGGAAGGCTACGCAAGATCTAATTACACAGGAAGCAAGTGGATAGGACAGGGAAGCCTGGCAAATTGCTTTTTAAGATTTCAGAATAGGCCTCTTAAATTTGGTTTTATGACTTGAGGGATAGCCAAGCAGGAAGGGAGGAGGTACTAAATTCTTGGTTATGGTAATGCATTTTAATGGTATGGCTACAGGCCTACATTTCCAGAGTATGTATCTGATTCGGTATGACACCTAATAGTGTATGTATTGACGTTACATACCTTGACATGAAGAGGCTATCACACATACAATTTCTCTTCATAGGAAAACATAAAACATAAAATATTGTTAAATTATGTTTCTAAAAAGTGAGTAATTATCTATGGATTTATTAAAATTAGATGATTGAGTACTAAAGGCCTCTGATAAATTGTAAGTGTATTAATCACTGAGGAAATGGTTTTTGAAAACAATGAAAAGAAAAATCTGGTGAATACTAAACTTAAGATGGGTACATCATGAGGTTTGTATCTGTCAGACACAATAGAATGTTTGATGACACTTGTATGAATGAAATATTAAGCCTGTTTCATAAAAATCTGATGGAACATTCTGTCTGCTGAAAGTCAAACTCGAGTTTTTGAGGCAATATTTCAAAATTTGATCAAACATTGCTGTGTCTGATAAACAAGACTGCAAGGCTCTGTGTAATTTTTAAAAATACTTGGAAAAAATAATTATACAGTACAAACTATAAAGTTTTAAACTTTTTGAAGCGTTTCCCAAAAGATTTTGGAATTTTGCTAAATAAAACCTTGATCTCCACAAAACAATGGACTCACCTTAATCTATTCAAGGAGCAACATACCTTGATCTAATGTTAAAAGCTATCTACCAACTTTATCACAATCAGTATAATTTCCCATACAGCTTCTTGCAAGCTACTGTGAAATTCTTTCAACATGTGTCACGTATAGCAGTGTAAATTTCTCTAAAATGGCTGGCTATAAAGTTGTGCCTCTGTTTACAACACCAATAAGCAATCTGCTACAGCAATCAATCATGGGTAAGACGCTAATGAGGACCAGGCTGTGAATTCCAATGATAGGCAGCCACAGTAGTTTAATGCGCTCTGCACCCACGGCTGACATGAACTACACAATAACATAGTTATATGTTTTATTTTTATGGTATATCTAACCCAAGGACCAGGACACTGGCCAGAATTCCCAAGAAAGCCTACACATTCTTCGACAATTAAGAGCATAACCCTGAGTAAAACATAAAAAGTTAATGGGGGTTACCTTTTATATAAAGAAGATTTTATAGAAAGAATGTCACCGGAAGCAATTTAAGTGAAGAATAATTTCAATTGGATTTTATAAATTAATTGGTTGTGATGGAAACTGCATAACAATTTCACAGTGAAATTTATACACTTCATCTTGATAGGTTTGTGTGGTTACCTCTACTACCTCTAAGTGGACATTAAGACTCTACTGAAAAAAAATCAACTTTAATTTATTGATTAGAAAGAATGATTTATGGCTTTCAAATCTTGAAATAGAACCTATCAATAATCTTAATCTTAACACTTATATATATAAAAGTTTTTTTCTTATCACTAAAAACTGGTTTATCTACTAGGAATACACAAGATTTTGTTTAAAAGACACAGGCACTATTTAAAAAGGTACTTAATCTTCTTTTGATATCTACAAACAATAGGCTTTCTATGTCTACTGTATTGGAAAACGATGGACAACGCTATACTGTCTATGAAAGTTTGATAAAATATTAAGTTTGACAGACATAAATCTGAAAGTTAGTATTGACATTTGCTCAAGAGTACAAAACATTCACTAAATGGAGGGTTCCAACAGTCAGTGCTTTGACTCTTATACCCGATTCACACGTGAAGTTAAATTTAACAAAAAGTAACAAATTGTAACCGAGCGATCTCCCGAGTTATTCCTACCGAGATAAAAAGCATTCACACGCGTCTGTAAGGTAATGCCATACACATAAAATTTACTCAGTGTTTATTCAATGAATCATTTTTTCCCCTACCGCGATATAGGTCTAGCCTAGGCCTAGTTGAGAACCCCTGTCACAGATGGACTGTTGAACTCACCATCACTGTAAACATTAGAAGCAATCAATGCCCGTAACTGCTGTAAACTACTCACTACTACTAAACTAGGCATAGCTTCCAACGTTTCTGTCGACTCTTGATAATACTAGTAATAGTACTAACACCATCCTGACGTTCATTTTATGTATATCTTCTTCTTCTACCATTACTAATTAACATCAATAACAAGGGTAATGCATTCATCATTGAGAAAAACTAGGCCTATCTATTTCTTGTGGATCAGAATCGTCTGCAGAATTAGAAGGAAGAAAATTCAAAGAACCCCGTGAAACACAGTAGATTGTTGTTGTGTTGAAATCCCTGCGCATTCGCAGATCCATCCATGCTACATCTCGGGAGCTTTACCAGCCTCAGTGAGGCTGGTAAAGATTACCGAGACGTTCCGAGATTTTACAAGGATATTACACGGAGGTACTTTCACACGTGCCGTAAAATGTTACTTTTGGTTACATTTTCTTACATTTGGTAAGATTTTTGTACGTGTGAATCGGGTATTAGGAAAATCTCAAAATGACAACATTCACCATTTTATTACTGTAAGCCTACTCTTTATGGGGTGGGAAAGGAGGGAGTAAAAGGAAAGGAGACTATGTTTTGTACTACAGTAGAAACCCTCATTTACGAACCCCAATTTAATGAATTCCCGATTTTACGAACGTAATATAAAGGTGATAACGTCATAAAAATTTAAGCGAAAGATTTAAAAAAAAAAAAATCCGCTCGAATTGTAACTGTTATTAGCATGCATACAACACAACACACCATACTATACAGTACTATGTAATTCTCAAGTGAAGGAGGCCCTCTAACTGGCCTCTTCAAAGTCAGTGTTTTTATGGCTTCACACATGTTTTTATTTTTTTAAATTTTATTATAAATTTTATTTCTCTTTCAAACATCGTTTTCAGCTTTAAAATTAAAGTTGTGTTGGAGTAAAATCCACAATCTGGGTATTTAAGAAGGTAAAAATGTCTGATAAAAACAAATTTGTGTAGGGCCTAGAGTGGGATCAGAATACTTAGAAGCTGCCTACTGTAGGCCTAGGCCCACTCAGACATAGCTGCGTCAGCCTGTAGGCCTAGCCTAGGCCTAGTTTATGCCAGTGTAAGTAGCACCAGTGCAAATATATAGGAATTTGGGTCAACCCCGATTTTACGAATCCCTTAATTTATTGATTAGAAAGAATGATTTATGGCTTTCAAATCTTGAAATAGAACCTATCAATAATCTTAATCTTAACACTTATATATATAAAAGTTTTTTTCTTATCACTAAAAACTGGTTTAACTACTAGGAATACACAAGATTTTGTTTAAAAGACACAGGCACTATTTAAAAAGGTACTTAATCTTCTTTTGATATCTACAAACAATAGGCTTTCTATGTCTACTGTATTGGAAAACGATGGACAACGCTATACTGTCTATGAAAGTTTGATAAAATATTAAGTTTGACAGACATAAATCTGAAAGTTAGTATTGACATTTGCTCAAGAGTACAAAACATTCACTAAATGGAGGGTTCCAACAGTCAGTGCTTTGACGCTTAGGAAAATCTCAAAATGACAACATTCACCATTTTATTACTGTAAGCCTACTCTTTATGGGATGGGAAAGGAGGGAGTAAAAGGAAAGGAGACTATGTTTTGTACTACAGTAGAAACCCTCATTTACGAACCCCGATTTAATGAATTCCCGATTTTACGAACGTAATATAAAGGTGATAACGTCATAAAAATTTAAGCGAAAGATTTAAAAAAAAAAAAAATCCGCTCGAATTGTAACTGTTATTAGCATGCATACAACACAACACACCATACTATACAGTACTATGTAATTCTCAAGTGAAGGAGGACCTCTAACTGGCCTCTTCAAAGTCAGTGTTTTTTATTGCTTCACACATGGGTATTTAAGAAGGTAAAAATGTCCGATAAAAACAAATTTGTGTAGGGCCTAGAGTGGGATCAGAATGCTTAGAAGCTGCCTACTGTAGGCATAGGCCCACTCAGACATAGCTGCGTCAGCCTGTAGGCCTAGCCTAGGCCTAGTTTATGCCAGTGTAAGTAGCACCAGTGCAAATATATAGGAATTTGGGTCAACCCCGATTTTTTACGAATACCAGAAGTTATGAACGGCTCTGGGCCCATGCCGTACGTAAATGAGGGGTTCTACTGTATCTTGAAATATTGAAAAAATGAATAAGCCCTTTAAATTAATCACCACAAACATTCCATCTGCTGCACCTTATTTGAGGAAATCCTGTTTGTAATATCAATATCAGAACATCAAAACAACAATATATTAAAAAAATTAAATCTTGCTGTTTGAACAACTTTCAGTATATTTTTACAGATGCTATACTAAATTAAGAGCTCTATACAATTTTAGTGACGACTGATTTACTGAACAGTAGAAGGTAATAAAATAAAGACAATATTACTTGATCTTGGATGACAAAATATGTTGAAAAAATATTTAAATAGAAATCATACCTTAGTTATGTTGTCTATAGATGGCAACATCAAATCTTCCCTAAACTAGTCATTCAAACTTCACTTCTTTCTTGCCTGAAAGAAAAAAAATATCAACTATTAAGAACAAGTTTAATATCTTGGAATATTATCTCTGTTCAGCTAATATTTTACTGAATATTTAATTGTTAAATTATTAACAAGAAAATATTTGCACATACATAATGCCTCTCTGGAGTGAAATGTACTGTAAGAGGTAAATAAATACCCCTTACTTACATACTTGGTTAAATAAAAATGAATATTCAAATTTAATTAATTTATAGGTTGTAGTAAGTTTGTAAATCATGTATGTTTTTATTGGAAGCAGAAAACTTAACTGATCATTCAAAATGAGCTTAATTCTTTTAATGTGCATTTAAAGGACTTTCTAGATTTGATCAGATATGACCACAAACTGTGGTTATTGTATCCCACATATTCTTAATTACCAGGAAATAATACAAACAATGATTGTTTCCATAAACTGACCACAGCTCTCCTGTCAATTATTGTAAATAAATCTTTAATTCCTTTGAGAAGGCCTAGAATATTGGTACAGTGTGAAGATTGTAAAAACTTCAACCAAAAGTTAATGAAAACAGTGTTTACCCTGACAAGATATAGGTTTACTTAATAAAAATAAAAGAAGTTCTATTCTTCTTTTCTTACTAAAATACACCTATTTTCCATATGCCGCAAGTTTTAAAGGATGTCGTCAAGCAGTAATTAGTAATATATTTTGTTATGTACTTTACTGAGCTGTTGGTTAGGGGTAGTTGTGAAGTTGTCACCCTAGGTAGTAGGTGAAGGACTTATACTGTACCCATGTAACTATGGTACATATTATTTTCAGAATAAAATCAATATTGATAGCAAATCAAAACAAATGCTCTACATTTTACAATTTGATTAAACTGGATAACTTGTTAAATTTATTGCTATGCTTTTACAGTAAGTGCGGTAACTCATTTTCATAAATCTTCATAACTTTAACATGATATCCAACTTACAAAGCTAAGTTTGACACAAGTTGGTAAGTTCAAACTTTTTTAGCAAATCTGACAGACTGCCAAGATCTGACTGTGCCTGGACTTGTAAGTTGTAAGTAATAGACGGAATGTACCACAGTTGTTAGCTTTCAATCCGAAAATCATTGACAACAAATGAAATGGGATGAAAAAGTCGGCATTATAATGCAAGAAACCTTAAATGATTCAGACAGAAAAACATGAATTTCAAAGAATATGTCAACTTGTTTTCATAATTTCTTTTTTTATTTTTATAAATCACAGCTATAACTGATGGAAATTTACATGGTCTGTTGAAATCTGGAAATACAATGTCCAAGACATTTAAATAAATCTCAAAAGGAAATCTTAAAAAAAAAAACAAGCGAAAAACTGACAAGCGAGTTATTGTCAATGTGGCTACGGTTAGGCCACAAACTTGTTGCACTATAATATTGAGATCAATGCACTTTTGAATGTTAAAAATGCTTGTGATTGCAAAAACATACTATAACTTTATAAAGTAAGAAAATATATGATGAGGTATTAAGTTACAATAATTATGACTTCATCAATAACTTCTCAAAACCATATTTTTCTGGAAGAAAATCAATTATTAAAAAAACCTCAAAACAAATGTTGCTGAGCTTATTTTTGTACAGTTACAGTAAGCCATCTGGCTCTTTTTATTACAGTAAATGACTCACAAAGTCCTGAAAACTAAGTCAAGGGTCATGAGAAAAGTCATCTTTTTCTTCCCAAATCCACTTAACAATTCCATCATGAGTGCGGAAATAAATTGACGAAGAAGGAGGAGGAACTATTACAAGTGTGTGGTTTCCACTTTAAATACAGTTACAGAAATTTCCCCCAAAGTACACTTTTAAGAAGAGTTATATAAACTGGTTAATTAATCATTTTAGTATGATTTTAGCATTAATGTTACTATTTATGGTACTATTTCCTATTACTTTTTATGGTACTCACCAAGTTCTGACAAGTCTATGAACTTTGCTCGATGTCCAAACTACCGGTATGCTAATGTTTTCTACTGCCTGACTGTCCACCGTGCCATTGGCTTAAATCCTGTTCAAAGGATTTGTATCACCTGTTTTGGTCCAACATCTGACCTACTACATATGATATTATTGTTCCTGATCTAGTAAAATCTTCTACAGTAGGCTAGTCAATCATGATAACTTTTTTTAATTGGCAAAGAAATACAACATTCTTAGCTTTCTCTCGATATTCACAGTGGATACAGTAATAAGTAATAATCTTAAAGTACATCCTTTTTATAAATAAATTGATGATAAAGGATGAGGAACTACTATAGAACAGAGTATGTGGTATGCATAAAGAAGATTTCCTCAAAAGTACAATTTTAAGAAGAGTTATATTAGCTGGATGATGAATCATTTGAGTATGATTTTAGCATAAACGTTAGTAACATTATATTACTTATGGTACTCACCAAGTTCTGACAAGTTACTTAGCTCTATGTCCATACTAATGATAATATATTTCATCTACTCTCTAATATCCCACCATGTCATTGGCTGAAATCCTGTTCAAAGGATTTATATCACCTGCTTTGTTTGACCCAAATTCTGACCTGCTGTACTCTACATTATGAGATTATTGTTTGGGATTTTTAAAAATCTTCTACAACAGGGTAGTCAATCATGATAATTTTTTTTAATTGGCTAAGAAATACAACATGCCTATTCTTAGATTTCTCTCGATATTCACTGTGGATAAAAATAAGTATAATCTTAAGGTATTTCCTTTCCATATTTTTCAGGATAGTTTTAAGTTCATGGTCAAGTGTTCTTTGTTCAATTATAGGAAACCAATTAGGGTTAACATCGTTAAATGAACTAATTCTTATTCTGATTAATTAGGGAAATTGAGTACACTATATCACTTATCAATGTTAAACTGTTCAATAGGATCAGTCTATCGTATTAAAGAACAGATTTGATTCACATTTCTCTGATTGAATTTCATTGTTCAATGACCTTTTATGATTTAGGTTTTACGACTCAAGTTTAATCATGTATTAAGATAGCAATCAAATAAAATGTATTTCTTTCACTTGATGGCAGATATTTTTGAGAAAATAGTCTCAAGATTAATGTGAAATAAATTGAAAATGGTATGAAACTTCAAAACTATTAAACTGTCACTAGGTGTTAAGTAAGTGCACACATTCTAAAGAGAATATTAAATTTTCCATTTCATTTTTAGTTTCATGTAAAATTAATGACACCCTGCAGTACTTTAAAAAAAATCTTATTTGAAATGTCAGTTTAAGTACAGTAGTAGGAACTCACTATTTACAAAAAGGCAAAAAAAAGACAAAAAAAACCCCCCAATATTTGTAGAAATGTTTATCTTTGTTGCCTTTTAATAAAGATTGAAATTATGACATACATTATAGGTGTTTTTTGGGAAAAATTACATAAATACATACAGTACATATCGGAGATAACAGAACAGCTATGTATAGGTGCATTAAACAGTGCATTCCTTATTAAAAGGTCATGTTTCATCACATGAACAATTCCGATTGGATAAAGAAGTTATGGGAGGCACCGGAATACTCTGAGATGGGGGTGATGGCTGTGATTTTTGGCATTTACTATTCATTTCCAATTTCTATGTATTTTTATTTGTTTTGTTGTCCAAATTAGGCCAGAGTTCTAGTATTTAACTATGTGTGATTTGCAGGGAACTGGCATATCTCACAACAGATGCTTTTAGCACTTCTTTGACAGCCAAACAAAGAGAAATGTTGAATTCTACAGCTGTAAATACTATGCCTGCCCATGTTACTTATTTATCACAGACGCCAACTTACAATACCCAGTATTCAGTTGTAAATTTATTTCTAGTGAACAATTTATAAATCATTAATGTTTGTTCTAGGGGGAAAGAAAAGAAGGAAATCACATATTGAAGTTAACAATTCTACAATCAAAAGTAGTATTATTGTTACAGTGATAGCAATAGAAAGACCCACTGTTTATTTCATTTAGTAAGATGTTAAAAAAGATAAGTGTTGTAAAGGGGAAGTGAGGAAATTATCATTTTGAAATGGAATTTTTTTTAAACTAATGAATGCACAATTGAGTAATAAAGTACTTCATGTGAAGCTGTAAGCTTCATATTCAAATTAATTGAAAATTTAATATAAGAACATCAATTAATCACCATTACATTCCGTCGTAAAGTCATTCTTTCCAATAAACACATCAAGAAAAAAATAATTTAATTATGTAAATTTTTAGTTAACATTCATTAATCAAGTACAAACACTGCAGTTCACCTTATGTACTATCAACTACGGCACTTTAAAGCAGCAGATAAACAAACTTATACGAAAGCCAAGGTTTTTCTTCAGCTAATAGTAAATATTATTAATTTTTTAATCAAACAATATAGCTTAAAAAACAATACTGTTAAGTCTACATATTCCATTTTAAAACAATTTTTAATGCCAAATAAATATAAACTTGATTGCAACTATATTTGATAACAAAGAGATGAAAATGTTTGTATTTTTAGAAAATTTAATACCGCACAAAAATAAAACAAGTAGTAGAGGACGCACTCAAGACGTTGATCGAAGTATAAACATTTATAATCGGGTGGTTAAAAGTAATCATAATAATTTTCAGTTAGTTATTCTTAATCAAATATTACAAAGTACATGCGTAGTTCACCGATTATACCTGAAGGGTTTGTTAACTAATTGAAAGCAGGCTAGGAATATCAATAAATATCCTACAACACCGGGGCTGAAATTGCGTCAGGAAAATAAGAATGAATACCTTGACAATACTTGGTGATCAATAACCTTGAGTAACCCTGTAGGTAAACCACTTTTGATTTCCAAAGTACGGCATTCACCTGGTTGTAAATTCAACATCTTGTATCAACGTATTATGCAATGTCGTATAAATTTATCTACTTTATGAATAATCAAAAACCACTGGTAAGATCGTGTAATCATTATTTACAACCTCATAGATATGAATTAATACAATGTTAAGCTCTTCATTTCATGTAAATTAATGTCATGGCCATGGGCAAACATTACAATTGTTGCTCTGTTTAAAGAACATGACAGCCAGATATCGTCAGAAATAAAATCTAGAAAAAAATACTGCACCGTATGTAGCAACCCACAATATTTTAAGAGGCATAACATACACTCTTAGGGTGTGTTTCTACTGATAAACACAAAATAATCGATAACCAGACAGCCTACTCACGTTGCAACTGCATTTTTGATTTTTCGAAAATCGGTTTTCGTTACGGAAATTACATCACCATTTTGTATATACAACACGTTGTTTTCCTATCTGTATAGGATAGTATCTTTCTCATTCCTGTCATGATGACGAGGAGTAAGATACGGTGTGGGGCGAGAAGGCAAATGTTTTCGGCTGTGCTCATCGGCACAATGAACAAGCGACCAAACGAGGACAACGAGAGCGGAGAGGCCTAGGCCCATTATCCCCCCACAAAATTACGAATTCGTTGCTCCACATGTTTGTTGACGTTTTAGCTTGTAGGCCTAGGACAAGAACAAGAGGACAAATTTTTTTGAAAGTTCGCGCTTAATATGATCCAGTCCTTGCAGTGATTGACCTGGAGGTCACATTTCACCTGATAATCGCTTTTTTTTTGTGTTGCAGCTAAAAGGTGCACAGTCAAAATCGGTTATTTGCCGTTCAAATACGCTATCCATTGCATGTTTTTAGTCGATTTTTTTTAATCGCTTTTTTCAAACTGGTCCCGTTTCTACTGCGAGAATAAAAGCGATTTTTCGAAAAAGCGATTTTTAATTGATTATTTCTTTCCAGAAGAAACAGGCCCTTATAGTCAGCCTGAGAAAGTATGGTAACTGTAATTATTGGTACTTGAACACAGGACAAATCACATATTGGGAAAAATTTTCTATCTATTAGAAAATTCTCCATCCCTTGGGAAATATTGTTTAGGATGAGAGAATGAGTCATTCAGGATAACCAGTTTTTTCCCCTTTAAACTTATTGCAGTACTGAATCGATGCAAAAAAATTGACAAATTCATCTGTTTTTAATCAAAAATTAAAGTTATACTTCATTTTGAGCATCAAGAATGTTAAAACAAGGTCTTTCTATATTGTGTATTAAGGCTGACTTTAATTGATTTCATTTTCATTACTGCAAATGTCAATTCACCATATTTCCCGAGGGACGGCCATCTGATGATATTTAAATGGTATTTCATCTACAATATCTAAATCAATTTCCAAAGAGCATAAAGTCAATGGTAAAATAATAAACAAGAAGGTATTCATATGTAATTATTATGTATTATCAAAATTTGATCAAATCTTCTTGCATGTCCATATTCAAAATTTTATCTGTTTTCTTGGAGAAGTGAACGTGCAAAATACACCTTTTGTGTATTAAATATTCCAGCAATCGCAGCCGAGGTGTACGTTAATTACTGTAACTGCAACAGGTCAGTTTCACTATATCAATAGATGATGTTCCAAATGCATTCAAATAAAATGTGAAACATGAGTAATATTTTTTAAATATATTTTAAATATTCAGAGTTTAGCAGGAGTTATGAACATATAACATTTTCTCTAAATGCAGCTTTCTTATAGATTACTCTTCCATAGTTTTGTTAACAATTTATCAACCAATTTACCAACCAACCAATTAATTAATCAATTAATTAATCAATCAATTAATGCTGAATACAATCAATAATTCTTAATGTGGTTTTCAAGCAATAAATGTAATTGATTTACTAATTGATGACTTATTGGACTATACAACCTTGAGAGATTAAGTTTAAGCTTTGAAATTCAAGGTGCAGTAAATCTTATTGATTAAAAGTGCATTGGAAGACTTGCCCGCATCTTGAGTATTTCAGCCTAGAAATACATGCAGACACAACGATTGTCCTAAGCTTTACAACTCATTTTCGAGATCACACTTGAGTTTCCACAGAGTGTTGTGTCAGCAAACAAACAGAAAGCTGTGGATCTGAATGCTGGATGATATTCAATAGCCTGATCATATATTTGTACTATTGCTAACTCTTAACAGAAAAACACTAGAGTCAATAAAGTGTTTTTAAGACCAATATTTACTCGAGCTTCTTACACATCAAGCGTCGTAGCGCCAAGGTTTTTTCTGTTGTATTCTCATGGTACCCACCTGAAGACCTTTCGCAACCTGCCTCCAAGCTTCAATTTTTAACACTTACAATTTCTCCCAATGTGCGAGACCCATGGGTACAAGTAATTCAATGCCTACTATAATTATTTTGAACACCGAGACACCACTAAAGTTACAATATCATCTACTTAATGTGTGTTTGGTACAAATAAGAGAACATAGTTCTCGTAAAATAATAACCTTTACCTATAGCAAAAGAAGATCATTTCCTGTAAAGAATATCTAAGATACAGGAATGAAGTATGTGTTTTCGAAAGTTCAAAAACATTCTGACAGTATGACATAATGATCCTGAGCGTGCTCAACTGGCAGAAGATGATGATGATGGTAATGATATTTGATTACCAAACCCATTAAAATGTTATCAATTCCTTTGCGTCCCAAACTATTAGCTTCTCATATGTACAAGTGAAGATCAGCATTTCGACTATATTCTAGATAGATCATTCTGATCTAGTTCCTAATATTAATATTTACAGTAGTTATATGTATTATTTTCTATTCATATTACATGGATATTTGGACAATTTTTGGATCATTGAAGAGAAATAAATAAATAAATAAATATTTATATGAAATAAATGAATTAATGAATTACAATATATTACTGCAGTACTTAAGAGAACTACATGTAAAAGAAAACTATATAAAAAACTTTGGAAGCACCAAAATCGCTGGTCAACAACCACACTAAAGTAAAATACAACAATCAATAATTAAGCAGGCCCATAACCAAGTTCATCCACTTATTTACAGCGTCTTAAGTACAGTACAGTATTATTATTTTTTCAGATTATAGTAGTTTAGAATTATATAAACTGATCAACTTTTTTTATATCTTACAATACACACACTACTTAAAATGTAGAAATAGAAAAATACATTGTTCTAACAATTTTATGTAGTACAACTACCAAGGTTAACAAAAAGGCTTTTAATTATTATTAACATAATAAACATATTAATATTACATTACAATCTAGGGTGTTAAAACATGGCCATGACTTCATGAGAATTAGTTTGGTATCTGTGCTACGCAAATAGCCTCAGTAATAATTGTTATCCAGGGTAGATTTAGCCTTCGGTTGACATTTGCAGACTATAGCATGAAGTTATAAGGAGATCTCAGTGGACAATAACTGCGTGAGACTCAATCTTAAAATGATAATGTTTAGATTCAGTGGGAACTTCACTCAAAACCTCTCAAAGGAAATCAGTACTTCACTGAAGAAGCACAAAGTATAAAAGAAGACCAACCGTTGAGACCCTCAGTTTAAGTGCAACAGAAAGTTAATCTTTGTTACTGAAGTGATGATCCAATTTGTCTGCAATTCTTGATATATTTGAATAATAACTACTGCAATGGTTTAAAATAAGGAAGGAAAAATTGGTGTACTGAGCTCTATGAAGACAACAAAATGCACTGTACTTGGAAATGCACTGTAGTTGAGTGTAAATTACACAAGTTAGAAGTAATGAAAATAACTATATCTCAGAAACACAGTACATGGAATTTAAAAAATCACATCTACTGTAGCTCTTCAGCAAATTACCAAATTTATGTATTTCTAATATACTGTAGATGTATGGTAAAATAATCATACCTTTTAAAAACTGCTCTGAATACTGTAACTAATAAATCCAAATATAACAAGCCAAATCTTCAGAGAATTTCAGAAATAGATAATTTAATATATCCAGAAACCAAAATCCGGTTTTAGAATAGCGATAATATCCGGCAAGATTACTGACCCAAGAGTGAATTAAGAATCAGCTGCAACTGTTTCACTGGATGGACAGCACTACTGTTGTAGCCTCCGCCTTACAAATAGAAAATGTGTTGTGTACTCACAGCTTAGTGGCTGAAAAGTGTGTGTACTTTGGACGGGGATTAATTCACTCACTCCTTCAGGTGTTGAACATTTCCACAATCTGCTCTCCTCTAACCAATAAAACTGAGTAATTCCACAACTACTGAAAATGTTCAATCTTCCGCAGGTTTAGGCAAGCTAGTTATGCCCTGGGGTATCCCATTACTCAGCCACGGTGCCATGCATAGCTGCGATGAATGTACCCAGTCAGATGGAAAATTCACTTGCGTCTCTGTCAAGCCTGTCCTCTATACAGAGTATACACAATAAATTGTTTAGCAAAGAATAGGGTATAAATCAAAGTATTTATTTTATTCAGATAAATGGAATGCCGATTCTGTAAGTATCACAGATAAATAGACAGTATGATCGCCGAGATAAAAGGACTATTTAATTCAAAAGAAATATGATGTTGCCAACTGTATGCACCTTAATTGGTTCATATATTGTGTAAGTTGTTAAAAAAAAACTATTTCACAATACAAAAAAAAATTATTCAAGGTCTCTTCTTCAAATTGTCACCTTTACAAATGAATTCTCGATCTCATGTTTTTTCAAGCCTACAGTAGTACAGTATACATTCAAAAACTAACATTGTAGCTGTTGCTAAGAAAAGATCAATTGTCAATTAACACATAATGCTTTAGCTAGGTTCAGACTTGTCATATTGCCAGACGTAAGCTTAAACCGGGAATAAAGTTACACCGGACATAATGTGCTTAGATGTTCAGAAAGCGAAGTCACCAAGCAGATTAACAGGAAGTCAGAACTTGGGAATGGTCACATAGAAGCCCTTGCAGCATTTAATGCTTGGCGAAACAAGATGCCACGTTTAAAGCTGGGCGTAGATAGAATTTTATCCCTGGCACCGAGTCTGGGTTAAAGATTATTTAACATCAGATTCTGGTGTTAGATAATCCGATACACCTCGTTTTGAATGAGACCTTATTATAAAATTTGGTTCTCTCAAATAAGGAATAACAGTCAGTGCAAAACTAATTTAGTTATATGTTTGATCTAATTGTATATCATGTAGGAATTTCACAAGCTCTGGTATACTGACACCAAAAGTGATAAAACGACGCTTTAACCAGTATACCCTTGCACAGTAGACAGACCATATCGATATTAAAAACATTAATTTCCTATTTCATTATAACTTGTCATTCCCTCCAAGAATGGAGCTAAAGGGGACAAGAGTGGTGGGGACCAGGTCATCATTACTTCCTCTACCCCTTTAGGCCACCTCCTGTGACAAATTTCGCCTGCAGGATACACAGTGCCACGAGAGCTAAGCAGCATCGCAAAACAACCCTGATATTATTTAATCCAAATAGGAAATAAATTCAATGAAGTGGAATTATTGTTGATAAACTTGAAGAGGCACTAAGGGTTAGAATGTGTATGTCTCTTCTCGGTAGGTCTGTTTATGGGATGTAAAATTGAATTATTCAAAAAACCTGATTGAGCTTGAAGTTTTTGTAATATAAATACAAGTGTTGAGCAATAATTTTGAGCACAGCACATGACTTCAGGCAAATCTGTAATATTTCCATTTCTATTTCTGGCTCTAAACTCACTGGTTTATGTGTTATGGCAAACCAATCAAATAAAATAATTTATTCTTAATTAGCTTGACTTTTGCAAACCTAACATTACCAAGAATTTCAACAGGAATCTGGAATATATGTGTTTGTTCTTTGAACCATATAAATGTTTTCTTGACATTCATAATCAGATTCCTTCAGTTGACTACTGTAAACTAAAATAGACAGTCATCAAAAATGTTTTCATATAATGTGAGAAAGGCTCGGTTGAAACACAAGTCCTCTATGAATACTATATTACCATTATTTCATTATAAGAGCAGCTCGCTCAGTTGGCTAAACTGGTGGTAGCCACTGCATGCTGAACTGTGGAGATCTCTTGGTCTTCGGTGCAATTCCAATCGCTGCTCCCCTTGGTTTTAGGATGTCTAAAATGCGAATTAAAAAAATAAAAGCGCACCATCTTTCAGATGAGACATTTAAGCCGTCCCTGTCTGCAAAATGGTTTATGTGCATGTTAAAGGACAAAGTGCATTCACCAGAAGAGTAGGGGATTGTCTCCCGGTGTTCTGCCCAATTCACCACCAGAAGGACCCCACTGGAAGTACACTCAATCTTAGAACTCTTTTTTTTAGGTTATCCTTAGTGTGTATGACACAGAAGAAATCTATTCTATTTATTTGTTTTTGGCTTTCTCAGGTTGCATGTTTCTTGTCTGCTCTGAACTCTTTCTTGTTTTTATTTTTGCTTTATTTTCAATGGGACCCCTCAGGAAACAAACCTTCGGGTTTAGAGGGTTATCCTTTGCTCTCCTTTCCCTTTGCTTTTTCTTTCTTTCTTGGTTTCCTTTTGATGTTCTGTCCTCTGGTCCTTGTTATCTTCATTCTTGTTTCCTTTTTTCTTGTCTGTTTTTTTCTTTTTGGTTTTCCATTACTTCTGTATGTTATATGTTGCCTGCTTGTCCCTGTTAATGTCTGTTGTTTCTGATTTTATGAAAAGTGTTCATGTTTTTTCCTTCCTTGCCTTGCCTTTTTCCTATCGATGTAATTTATTATGATGTATAATGTAATGGTAATGTTAAATTTCCTTTGTTTCTGGTTGGTTATTTGACTTTTGTACGAAAAGAGCAATAAATAAAAACAAACAAACAAACTATTCCAATACAATCCATCTCAAACTATTACAAACTCACTTATTTTAAAAATGAGGTGAGAAGTTTTTTAAGTTAAACCAAGTGAATCCAAATATGGAATTGATATTATTAGTATTGATTGACTGACAATATTCATCTACAGCAGGTTCAGCCAAAACATCATTCTACTATTTACTTCTACTAATATTGACACTTCTTCCTTACATCAACCCGCAGGATCCAGAGCGATAAGTTTACGGCATAAATTTAACTTAAACTGTTCTCAATCTACAAGAATATAGATATGAGTAATATATATTATCCAGTAGTCAGCCTGTCTCCATGATTTTCAAAATCACTCAGATAAAAACGGCCAGTTTAATATGTACTTGTAATTTATCGTTTGGCCACAGACATCAAAAACAGTTTAATTCCAATAAAATAGATGCTGTCTATTTCCTTGATTTTAAAAGTCACACTTCTGTCCGGAAAATAAAATTAAATACATCTCATGCAGCCAATTCCTGCCAATTTCTGTTCATTTATTTCTTGAAAAGCACTTTAAAAACATTTGGTAATACTGATTTGTGTAATAGTTTTTCTTTTAATTAGTGAGCAGAATCATTGAGAAATCTAACAAAAAAACTATAAATGGTCTTATAATCCTAATTGGTTTAATTTCAATAATACGATGGAGAACATTCTTCTTAATAATCTGGTCAGGTGAACATCAGTGCTAAGTTTAATAAGCATTTAGGATAATTTCACGCTTGACTTGTATTAATACAATGGTTCCCCCTAAGGTTACTACCGAAAATACAAAGTGGTACGTCTCAACTTTGTAAACAAGTTTGAAGTGCAGAGACCACAAGCCTCGCAATCCCTGGAGGAAAAACATGAACACCTTTTACATGGTAGTTGACACCAGTAAACCTCCACTAAGACAATGAGTGAAGCTTAAACATGCAAAATGCCTAATTATGGTTATGATGCTCTCACATGATGACCATATATAGGCACATCATGACTATATATGGTCATGATGACATCACATTATGACCATATATAGGCACATCATGACTATATATGGCATACGACAGTATTCTGTCAAAGAAATATTTTTTATAATCTGGACAGACCTCTAGTATCATATTTATTTTGAAAAACACATGAAAATTACTTAATTAAATGAGCAAAGCTGTTTCTACTAATCAACTATGAAAAGCACTGATAAGAGAATTTACTTTGCAAAAGTAAATTTAAGATCATGTTTTTGTTTGTTTGAACACAGATCCTACCAAAATATTTTTATAGGGTGTGTTCTGAACCTAGTGGGACTACAGGATATAAACCTGCTATATTTTCCTGAGAATTATGTAACAACCTGTAGGAATTTGGCACAGAACTCATCCTGTATTGACGTCAACTTTTTTAATTCAAGGATTAATATTCTTTGTTTCCTGCTGTAAATACATTCAACATGTGTTTCATCATTCTATTAGTACGATACTACAGCAGAATTACTTTAATATAAAATGTATATCAAATTTTAGGACCGTACAGTACTATAGTCTTAGTAGCAAAAGCAGTACAGTAGCAACAGCATTAGTGGCAGAAGCAACAGCAACAACAGCAGCAGAGTTTAATTGTAATAACAGAGCAGATTTCTTGACTACAGCAGATTATGACATGATGTTACAGTATAATATAAAGTAATTTTATTAATAATAATGATCTTTGTAATCCTTTCAATGGCATGTATTTAAAACATATCAGTCTATTCCCTACTCAAGAAAAATGTCCAGACATAATTTTCGTTGTAAAAACGGTAATGGTAAGAAATGGAAATCCGATGGACACACCTTCTTTCCAAGGCACTCAAATAGCTAAGAAAATTATGATTACACTTGACTTACATGAACTCTAGCATATATGAGACAGCCTAACTGTTGTCCATATGCCTGACAAAACTAGGGAATTTACAAAAACTTGTTTTTTCTCCCTACAACATTTCCACCAAAATTAGATCATCTACCTATCTCTGCTGCAATATTTCACTTTTCTCTAAATTTCCACAGTACCAAAATATACTTTTTTGAGTTATATATTTTATATTTTATATCTTCAAACTTGTGATTTGCAATTGTAACTAAAATACCTGATAGATTATCACCAACTATGTATGTTACATCCATTCACAATGGTGTTAAGACCGTCTTTCTAAAAAAGATTATGAAAATATTTAACCACTTACTATTTCAAAGTGTTTCAGCAAATGGGTACAGGTTGAAAAACCACTTGTAATCCTAATTTAAGCCACAATAAGATAAATCCGTAGGACTCGCATAAAGAGTTCTTCCAGTACGCTATATGTTATGTAGGTATCTGTCTCTGCGCATTACACTTTGATTTGAGAAAACTAATCTTCTGCTATTTATACCCTTGCTA